GAAAGTTCGTTAGCGCGAGAGAAAAAAAAAAAAAAAGAGGGAGAGGAAGAGGGACTGGCCGAGCAAACGTCTCGTTAAAAATCTCGCGTTCAGGAACACGAGTCGGCCGGAAACGCGCTTATACTTCGATATAATTTATTCGTGATTACGTGAAATGAAATATAATAGGTGAGAATGGATATAAGCGTGGATACATCCAATTAGAAGATAATTGCGGATTACTATTGCACATCGTTAAACGCGAATCGTGTAACAAATACACAATTGATAATAATTCCAAACTAATTTTCAATAATCTGTATTAGTATCAAGTTCTCCCACACCTCTTTAATAGAAGCTTTAATTAAACAAGATTGATCCTTTTTGCTCGAGATGGATGCTCGAGTTGAGAAATCTCGTTTCAAGAGTCAAAACAACCCTTCGCTCGCTTCCCCTATTCTCGAGGTCGACATATTGCCATCATTTTCCCTTACAAACGGTCAGATAATCGGTCGCGGATAATCGAGGGTGTGTCCGTTTCTTTTTTTACGAAATATTCCCCACGAGAAATCGAATTACGAGCTTACAGGCATGCTCACTTTGGATGCTTTCTCTGTTAACAGAGATCCGATGTGACGTCGCTGAATAGGGTGGTGGGCCGTGTAAAGGGGCAGAATGAGGGGTGGAAGTGGTGACGTCCCTGCCATGGTCACCGTCCCCGCCTCCGCGTCTCTCAATGTAAGTATAGCAATGCGATTGTAGGTTTCGAGGTGTCCAATGTGAAAGAAATTGTGCGTATGTTGGTGGACGAAGATTAAAAGTTTCGCCTTTTAAAGATATAGTCGGTGTTATCAATTTAGGAATTATGGATGGAAACTGTTTTTAATTGGAATGGTATTGATGTAATTTTAAAGTAATCGATATCCAATTGCAAATACGACGATAATAAATTGATTGTTTACGCAAGTGGAGTAAACAATCTGTCCATAATGCACGATAATTATTTCTTTCAATAGTTTATTTGTATTTGTTGTAAAAGCAACAATTCTCTGGATAGATTTTTATTATTATTAATTTATTTCGTGAAAGATTAATCTTTAGATTGTGTAAGAATAATTGGTAAAATATAAAAGAAAAGTATCTCAGTATATAGGATAGCATTATAATCTTTCTCGAAGAAAGGGAAAAACGGATGAATAATTATATCGAAGACGTGACGTATTGATAAAATATTAGAGAATTTTGTCCAATTTTACAACTTCTTTGGATAAGAGGAAAATCTTGGCAAAATTTTAAACGGTGAATATAAAGTATCACGATGTACAAGATTATCATAGAAATTGTACTTTGTCGATATCTGAAGCTTAAGTTAAAGGGTTAATTTTGTTTCATATTGTAAAAAATTCCTCTCTGAAATATCTATACCTAAATGGGACAAATCATTCACACTCCTTGTTTACAAATACCAAAATAGTCGTAAAAAATTCGAGACAGTAATAAAAATATAAATAAATTTAAGTTCGCAACAAGTAGAGAAATTTCTATTAAAATTTATAAAAGATGTTTTCAATATAAAACAAATGAGGAAAAATAAAATAAAAATTCGAAAAATAAATTCCAACATCCATCGGAAAATCGTCAGAAATAAAAATTCTAAAGAGAAATAAAAGAGATCCAGATTATATTTCTTCAACAAAAATTTTGCAAAAGGCATAAATTTTTCTTTTCTTTCCTTACTTTTCTCTCCAAGCGAACCCTCCACGTTCGACGATACCCCATCCACGTGTCTCGAATCCTTAGAAATTTTTTAAAGTGTCGCGGGTTCGTTTCCAAAGGGATGATTTCGCGAGCCAATTACCGCGGTCGAGTTTATCGTCGTGGACGTCGTTCATCGCGAGAACCGGTGTTGCAGGTATTCCGGCAGTCGCGTATAGGTCGCCATCGATCCTCTTTTCCCGGGATCGGGATCGACCATCGATCCTATCTTGGATATTCCTCGCGATAACGAGGGATTCATCCGAGGAACGATGCTCTCTTTCACCCTTTTCCTTTCCAACGATGACACTCAAGTATACTACCTTCTTTTTTCCTCTTCTTTGGATTCTTAGATCTCTTAAGAATCGGATTCGAATATTCTTCCAGAGAAAAGTTGAGATTTTGTTTATTGAGGTTTAATTGCGACGTGATTTTTTTTTTTTAAATTTGGTACAATTTAATTTTATTTAATTTAACTTTAGTAAATTTCTGGATTGGAATGTTGTTCTTTCAGAGAAGTAGAATGGAAATTTTGTTTATTGGAGTTGAGGTGACGTGATTTTGGAAATGGTGAATTTGGAGGGTAGAATTTAATTTTATTTAATTTAACTTTAGGTTTTGTAGATTTCTGGATTGGAATGTTGTTCTTCCAGAAAAGTCGAGTGGAAGTTTTGTTAATTGAAGTTTGAGAATCAATGAAGTGATTTTGGGAATAGTAGATTAATTTTTGTGATTTATTTTTTTTTGAACAGTAACGAATAATTGTTTAGAAAAATTTTTTTATTCGAATCGAGATGTAAATTGTAAAGTGAATTTGAGAAATTTTTAGATTCTTAATTTTCAAAGTAATGGCAATTACAGATTTTGAAATTCTCGAAAATAATACAAATAAATAAATTATTCAAAGATTTGAAATCGATGAACATCAATAAAGATTTTCATTCGTCGTTGAAAGAGACTTAAATGTCTGAATCTTGTACATCAAAATTTTCATTTTTCATAAACACTCCTAACTCATCTTTCCGAAAATAAATCACCAAAAATCATTCGCCAAAAATCGTTAAAAATTTAAATTTCAAAAAAATTAAAATAAAGAAAAATAAAAAAAAAAATTAAAGATTCAATTAAAACCTGTCAAAAATATCACAATCGATTTTAATCAATTCCCCCATCCCGACGGGGACAGGGTAGCGATCAATCGAGCTGAAAGCAGCAATAATTTAATCCGATCGCGCCACTTCCGCTCCTAAACGCCTCGCGCGTCACGATCTCGTTCCATTCTCCCTCGAGAATGCTAATTTCCAGGTTTACACGGCCTGCCTAATCGGCAGAGCTTCTATCGGGAGCAGCCTGATAAATTCATGGGGCACGAACGCTTTGAGCCGTGGCCTAGGGGTGGGACTACCCCTTGGTTCCGACACGGACCGATTCGGGGCGGTCTGCTGGCCGAAAAGAAATGGAGGGCGAACAGTTTACAGAGTGCTCGCCGACTTCTCATCTTCTTGCTTCTTGCGAAAAAGAAGAGGCAGATGTATCGCGAGAAAATAATTATTAAAACGTTAACTATTTCATATAACATATGGAATATTTTTTTTTTAAATAAAATGGCTTTGTGACTTTGGGAGAGAATCATTGATCGTTGGAGGATTAGATTTTAATTGGGAGAAGAAGAAGAAGAAGAATTTTTTTGATATTTATTTTTGAAAAGAAATTTAACTTTCACTCAGTGAATGAAAGTAATTAATTTTCGAAAAAGTCGTGATATATCTTTAAAGTAGATTATTGTTAAAATTTTAGTCTCGATTTAAAATATTTCAAATATATTATAATACTGATTTTTTTTTTCACATAGACTTTCCAAAGACTTCTTTTCTAAGTAAGAAACCGCGTCAATTTTATCTGAATTTACGGAAGTGAAAAGTTAATCACTCTCGAGATTCATGCTGTTGATCGTTAATCCACAATCACGTCGACATCCGTTCAAAAATAAAACTACAACGAAAGCACAAATCGATAAATCTCTTCCATATTGCATTTCGATTAAGAAATTATTATGCATCGTGTCGTGTACATCATCGAGCCAATTATCGCGGTAATTAAAACATTCCCGATGGAAATTTACGGAACCGTCACGAGGACGTTTTAATAAACGAAGTTTAAAAACTTGGAGATAAAGAGAGCAGATCGGATCGATCGATACACGTATCGATGCAAGCTTTCGTGCCGCATCGCGGAAATTAAATTTTCCGGAAGCTGGTCGACGTAAGGGTTGCCACATCGAATGAAGATCTTTGCTTCTAAAGTAAACTAACCTCTCGTGAAATCGTCTCTCTCCGCGCAATGGAGAGATCGAACTTGGTTGGCTTTTGTTTTCTCTTGTCTCTCTCTCTATTCTCTTCTCTTCGAGAAACGAAGGAGAAATCTAATTTTGCGAATGGAAGAGGAAAATTTTTGATATTTCCCGTAAGAAACGAATGATATCTTGCTTTTCAGGAGAAGCTTTTTAGATTTAGAAAGAGAGATCTTTTCGAAATATCTTTTTGCGTGGAGGAATAATACGATTTTTAAATAAATTTTTATATTAAATCTCTTTCACGCGGTGTTACATTGAAAATAAGAGATATCGAGTGAAATAATTCAAATTATTTTACCAACGTTTGATCGTTATCTAATATAAACGTGAAAGAAGCTTCGCTCTTTTCGTAAGAGTGAAGGTAGAAACAAGCGTAGAACAGTAGAAGCGCGTAACAATGGCGACTGGAAGGAACGATGATACGATAAAAATTAATCCATTCGAAACGCTGTAAATTATAATATCGATTACTACAGATGGTAATCACTTTTAGATTCTGTTATACAACGCTTAAATATATAATTAATTATGTACAGAAATTAATCGTTTAATAGCAATGAAAATAACGTGTAATGTGTAAATGTTCGATATAATGAGAAAGTGAAGAATAATTGCGATGTGTTGAAAATCGAATTAAAAGTAATAATAAACTTACGATAATTTGTAAAATAAGTATGATTATTATAAATTGATTATTAAACATGATTACTTATTTGTTTATTTTTAATATATAATAATCGTTACACTTTAAACGCTAATATTTATCGTTTTAATTGTGGAAGAAAAATTAATTCGCGTTGTGTATGATGATCGTTCGCATCGACACGTTTCCATAGCAGGGGACGAGAGTCATGCATGATTTATGGAAGTGTTCCGTTTACTACGGGGAGAGCCAAAGAAATCCGATGTAATCTCTCTTTCACGGGGAACGTATTTGAAAGTCTCGTATGAATCTTTCACAACCGATGCTCACTTTCTTTCAAAGTTTCTTCCTTTTACGAGAAGCTAGATTCGTAAATGTTGTTCCTTTCGATAATAATATATACATTTTATTGTCTTCATTCCTTATTCGTTTAATTAAAATTTATTCAGAATCAGTTTTCCTATCGATAGAAATCACGAGCTTCTATTCGACAACACTTTCTTGAGATACGAGATGAAATTGGAATTTGGATAAATTTTCATTAGAGAATTTCTTTCGCTTATTTTTTATAAACTTTATTTTCCACAATTTCTGATTGAGACGCTCAATCATTTACAACAAATTCTTTCATCAGAATACCTTTTTCACAAATATTAAATACACAAAAACACAACAAAAAAATATCCAGATACTAAATATCTACTCATCAATATTTTTTTTTATTAAAACCCAAAAAGCAATTACCTATTACATACCTTCTCACAAATACTAAGACACACATTAAAAAAAAACGCAATTCTTCATTATTAATAATAAAACATAAAAAATCAAATTTCAAATATTACATACCTATTAAAAACTGGACGCGCACAAAATAATCAATTCATTAATCTATGATCACAAGAAAACGCAAAAAGCTTACTCATTAATACCCATCACCATCCCCATCTTAATCGCCAATTTAAACGCTATGAAACGCTGAACACGGGTAGCCGGCACAGCTCTCGTCTCAATTTTCATCCGGAATCATCATCCACGCTTCATAATCAGCGATGGGTCGCTACGTGGCACGCTAATTGGCATCGCAAGGCCGTGGCGAGCAACCGATGGAGATGTCGACCGATCGAAG